TTTTCCAAAGTGATCAGCCAGTTGTTGATATAGGATGTGTTCAAAGATCGTGGATAACGCTGGAAGGACAGTGATAGGTCTAAAATTCACTTTTTCTAGCTGCGATGTATTATGACAGATTTCCTTTCTTGTATAGTTTGAAAGCAACATAATGATATGGAATCGAAGAAGGTCAAGAAGAGGAAGGAAGTGTTTCCTGTTGAAGTCACCGCTGTGGCTTCGTGTTGTTATAGCTGGTTGGCTTTCGTTTTCTGCTGTATTTGGTTTTTATCTGACCAACTCAGCTTTCCTACAACATCCAGACACCGTAAGTTACAGAGGACACGTTAAATTGAAACTTCCCGATACTTTTGCATTCCAACAGTCTGAGAAACCTCAATCTGGAATAGCAACCAGGAGAAATTTGATAATCATTGCTCATGGCCGTTCGGGATCTTCGCTCACGGGAGACATTTTCAATCATCACCCCGATGTGTTTTACCTGTACGAACCATTGCAGACCGTGGAAAGAACTCGTAAAAACTTCAAATTAGATTACAACAGCCTTGTACAGAAGTTCTTGACCAATATACTGCATTGCGATTTCAGCGAGCCGATCTTCCTCGCCGACATCGACAGATATTACCGCAGACCGCTTCACCCCCGCATCAGTCAAGCTATTGCCTCACCGCCTCTTTGCCCTTACAACATGTCAGACCCGAGATGGGATTTCAAGCTTTGCCCAAAAATGACAAGAGAAACACTTGGAAACGCGTGCAAAAATGAGTACAAACTTACTGTTATAAAAATTCTCATGAAGCGCCTGGTTGACAAAAGTTTAGAAAAGACTTTATCTGCTTGCGATTCTCAAGACATAAACTGCAAAATTGTGTTGTTGATAAGGGATCCTCGTGCAGTGATTCCTTCCTCTTTGAGTGTAAACTTCTACAAAGAGGAGGGCGGAACTGCCAAGCTTGGAACAAGAATGTTTAGCTACAAGTTATGTAAAGAGACGGAAGAAAGTTTACACTTCCTTAAAAATCTCCCTGCTTGGATCCGAAGACAAGTACAAGTTTTAAGATACGAAGACTTGGCAATGAATCCTTTGGAAGAAATGAGACATTTGTACAAGTTTGCTGGACTGTCTGTTTTAAAGAGAATCACGACTTGGTTGAATGAAAGCACTCATCCAACCAAAAACAGATCAAACATGAAAATAAAAGGAAGTCCCGCTGCGTTTACTGTAGACGATGCACAAGCCGCCATTAATCGGTGGAGATGGAAAGTGCATCCTTACGAAATATCTATTATCGAGCACTACTGCAAGCATGTGATGCAGTTAATGGGGTACAGACCTGTGGACACATCACACGAACTGCAAGCAAACATTTCAATTCCTCTTGTTAACGATGATTATGAAGCGAAGAATTGGTGACATGACTGACGACTGTTTTTCACACTAGTGATGACGTAGCATGGACGGATCCGTGCACTGTAGTATGTCTGTGCATCTTGTTTCTGGAGTCACCCGCTGACCGTGAACTACAATGTAGTGTGTGGTGTTTTGGTTATGATATGGTAATCCGAATCCGAGTTTTGAATTCTTCGGCGTTGTGATTCTTACGTCTCACTCGATGAAGAGGGAATAAGCTGGCAGTGCGGTCGTGGATGTGAGCGGCCTCACTTTTTTGCCTAATTTGTTTGTAGTCGCCTCTTGATGTCTGACAGCTGGCCTGGACGCATTGAAGACATTGAATATTGCTAAATGAAGTTCGTTTCAGAGTTCCGCACAAGACGATAAATATGACATTTTATTATCAAAGTGCATCGTCGTCGTATTACCTTGGGCTCGGTTCTGGGTTATTACTTGTATGAAGTAGTTCAGTTCCCAGGCATAACTCCGGGCGCGATTGCTCTTGCAGTTATGGCAGTATCCACCCTACGCCGAAATTTGAAAAACGGTATTTTCACTCTGAAAACGCATCAAAGGTTTCTCGTCCACACTACGCCGGAGAAATTTGAAAACTAATAATCACCGGTCAGTTCGGATTTGTGTTTGCCGAAAACTCTGGCAGGGAAATCACAGGATTAAAGTCACGTCACCGTTTTCGACAAAATCCGTTTTCACAATGTTTTCGGTAGACACCTAAACGTAAAGCCAGAGTTTTCAAATTCCTCCGGTTTCAAGAGGAAGGTTTGAAGGTTTGAAGGTTTTCGAAAAGCTCCGTTTTCGTGACGGATTAGTGTGGACGGTAGGCCTAACCGTAGAAATAAAGCTGCGTTTTCAAATTCCTCCGGCGTAGTGTGGACGGACCATAAAATGAAAAACTAAAACGTCCTGGGAACAAGAAACCACCGAGTTATCGCCACGTGTCTCCTGACTCGTCTCAAGTCTCTTTTCAGTGTCTTAAAATTTTCTCGCTGGGAACTAGTCAGTTTGTAATGTTCCAAGTCAGGCTGCATGTTATAGACACGGAGCACCTTAATGTGAGGACTAAACCGACAACTAGGAACCTATGGTCCACTCTTTGTGGCTACAGGAAACAAACGAACAGACAAGTTAAACACATCTTTTATTATTTGCTCAAATCCGCTTTGAAAGATGAACTGAAGTGGAAATGACCAGAAATGAATTTAGTCAGTAACATCCATTTTAACTAAAATAAGATTATACTTAGATCACTACCTCTGACTGTTCGGTTTGATCATAGGCGTACGGGCACCTTCGGACTTTGGGGGGCGGTGACCTTATTGCCCGAAAAAAATAACACAACGACCGAAAACGTGAGTGTTGTTCAAACGCACTTAAATCGCAGTAAAAACAAAAACGTTCACAACTTTCAAGTCTACTATGAAACTGTTATCATTCCAAAAAGTTATTTTGAAACCTCGCATACTCTATGATCTCGATCGACAGCCTAGTAAAATCAGAAACGTATAAAAGAAACAGTTAATTCTTCTTCGTAGAAAAAGTTCAAGAAAATTTTAAAACGGCTCTTTGTGGAGCCATTCAGAAAGGCTCTTTTCAGAGCCACCGCATAAACAAGTCTTGGTCTTTGTTTGCTCTGATTCTTTTGTCATTGTTTTGTTGATGGAAATAACATCTATCTCGTGGATTTCCACGATAGACATTTAAACGTTATATGGCTTTTCCAAAACAGAATACCTGGATCCTTACATCATTTGACCTTAACCCTTTGAACCCGAATTACGCATATAAAGAAAAATCTCTCCTTTTAGTAAAAAAAGCTTTCTTAGCAAAACTTAGGCTTATTTAACGTCATGGCAGTTAAAACAACCTGACTAAACGGTTATAAACGGTATTTTTTGGCAAAAGTTTGGTATTTTACAAGGCAAAAGACTGAGAAAGTAGCGTACAAGCGTGGCCTTGACAGCCTTTTAGAATGTTTTCTCCCGAGTACTTTTGCCCGAATCATCAGCGTTTTGCCCGAAAAATTTCAAAAATTTCTAAACCTGGGGGCGGGGCGGGGGGACTGCGGCCTCCTCCGCCCTCCCGGCCCGTACGCCTATGGATTTGATGATCTTGCTGTTCAAGTAATCTTACTTTCTTTACCGTGATTTCAGTTAACTTAATTCTTCTCTATGTTTGCGCCGCCATATCGCAATGGAACTTGCCTTGGTAGTTCTAAAGGACACGCAGCCATGCACAGGCTTTGAATGTCGGGTCTGTAGATGTAATAAACAAGTTACAGTGGCAACTGAAGCTTTCACGTATTAGAACCTATCGACAGTCTCTTTTCTCCGTGTAAAATGCCATTTCCATTTACTTCTGAATTTCTCCACTGCAAGGCAAGGAAGATCGGTTTTCCAAGATAGAGCGAAGGTAATCTTCCATCACACGTTGGACTGAAAAAGAAAGATATTTCTAATCAAAAAATATGAGGGGCTCTGGAGAGGGAGGGTGGGAATTGTCGGGGGAACTTAAGGGGATATATTGGTCCATATTGGTAACTTGACAAACTTTAACAAGACTTCGAATTCTGAAAATGAGCCCTAAGTGATTGATGACAGAAGGCAAGCTATTCGACGAAATTCAAAGCTCTCCAAACAATCTCTACAGTCACTGTACAGTGGCGGAAGGTTTGCAGCATTGCAAAGGTCATGGATTAGTATAGCGTTAAACGGTGAATTTCTTTTAAGGCTGTCTTAGCCACTGTTTAGTTGCTATTTCACCAATATCTCTTTCTCTACAAGTGACTCACCATTTTTGTTTCCAACTCCTACAGCGAGACTCAGCGCAGTATGACCTTCATTGTTTGTTGCTGTTAAGTCTGCTCCGTGTTCTAAGTAAATATTGATAATAATTAATATTATCTATTTGCTGATATAGGAAATAAACCGTTCTACAGTCGAACATACCCACAATGGCCACCTTAAGGACAGAGGAAAGTGGCCGTTGTAAAGAAGTGCCCGTTATGAGGAGTTCGGGGTGTAATATGACACCTGTTTCTTTTTGGAGGCCGTGACATTTTCATTTTTAACAAAATGCTTCTTGTAGAGTATACTGAAATACGTAACAATCAAAATATATCAATAAAACAGAAACAGAAACCAACGACAGGCGGTAGGGATCAAGTTTCCTGACCTTTTACAATAACAAAATGGGGTTTTGTATACAGCGTTCGTTAACTGGCTGTTGTCGAGAGGGCAGTCAGAGTGGACGCCCTTTATTGGCCATTGCCTTTGTGGAGAGGTGGCCACTGCAGAGAGGTTAAAGTAAGATCAAATGTATGAGCGTGACTGTATAATGAACGTCTGAATCAAACTTTGGTCCCCTTCAATCAAAAACTCCTGGATCCGTCCATGTACAGGCATTTTCACAAGCAGCATTAAGAGGTAACTGCATGTAATTTGCAAGCTAAATAACATGTACCTAGGATAACTGTGATGAAAAAACAAGTAAAACAGATGCAGTGCAACTTGCACAACCTCAGAAAGATTAAACTTGATTAGACCCTGCTTGAACCAGATATCTCAGTTTTTATTGGCTAAAGCAACTAATTGCAAGTATTTCTCAGCTAGACCATAATAGAAACACTAATGAATAGGTGAACCACTTCCAATGTTTGAGCACATGACATGTTTACCTACCTAGTAGAAGTTTGACTACCTGTGGATAGCCATTATAAGCTGCATACATAAGTGGTGTACCTCCTTCCTGTTTACAGAATTTAGTTGCACGGTAAACATTCAAACTCTTATAATGTTGTAATACGGATTTACTACATTTAGCAACTACAATCGAACATCCGGTTACAACCACCTCTGGTAAGTGACCAGTTTTCCAAAATACCAAAAGTTTCTAAGTCAAATCATTATATTTGGAACCTCTTGTATACGACCATCTCTCATAAGCAAGTGCGACCACTTTAAGAGCTAAAAGTTTGAAATTTTCTTTTGTTTTTAACCTCCCATAAGCGACTACTTAACAGATAATAAAGTGGAAATTGGATAATAAGATGTTGTAACATTATCGCATTCCTGGATAGTACAAGAGATGAAAATGTCTCAATGGGAAATACTGTATTTTTTTTTCTCGAAAAATTGACTTTTGACATGAATAAAACAGTTAAAACATGGAGTAAGTCTCTGCAGTTACCATATGCTAACGAGACAAAATTTTCTCCCAATATGGTCCAGGCTCTCACAAGTGCCCACCTCTCGTAAACGACCACATAGGCTTGACATTTTGGACGGTGGCTTACGGGAGGTTCGACTGTATTAACTACTTTTTATGATTAAAGTATTGGTAATGATCAAAGATTTAACACAGCACTTTTAAATCAAAGAAACCAAGTTAAAAGACAGGTTTAACTCATTTTTGCAACCAGTGTTTCTGCAAAGAAAATGGGTAGCTCAGTTATTTTTAAAATGGCTAAATCATTCATTTTTAAAATTTAAATTGTGTGATGTAAAATAAAAATACCAGTTAAAATATGCCACGATTATGTGGATACAGTCAAACTGAATGTTCTTTGAGGGGAACTCTACAGGTGAAAATAATATTACTCTATATATGGTTAGCAGGTTAACCAACAGACTGAAAAAGATGTGCGACAGGTTCAAATTTGCTCCACAAGTTGTAGTTTACAAGTTCACTTTTTATAAATAGTGAACTTAGATCAACTGGTCTCTAATTTCTTGCAGTCTGTTAATATACTTGACCATAGGATTTTCTTGTCGACCTTTACTTTTAACAAAGTGTAAAGTCTAGTACTCCAATACCTAGAGTCCATTAGGTCACTTTCAATTTGGAAATTGATTAAAAATCCAACCCTATACAATGGCAAATGACCCATGGCTTAATATGTACCCCTCATGCAGACAACATGCTTCAAATGGCATAAATTGTAAAGCCCATTTCACGCTATTGCATATAATACGTACCGCATTTGCAACATCAGGATCAGCTCCATATTCCAACAATTGTTCCACAGCATCCAGCTGGCCTTGACAAGCAGCAAATGAGAGTGCTGTCTCTCCAGTGGGACTACATAAAGTGGCATCTGCACCGCTCTTAAGCAGTACTGTTATTGTTGCTTTCTAAAATACCAAATTGAGCTTGATCAGTCATAAAAATTATTATATTATTATACACTGGAGTAATTCATGCTTATAACTGGGCTAACAATGTGAACAAGCAAGATGAGACCAATCCTGCACTGTGATTAGCTACCCTAGCAGGCAACATGGAGCTTTCTTGCCCACACCAAATTACCTGTTGCAGTGGCAGGGGGGGGGGGGTTGTTTTGCTTGCCCTGCCGGCTTTTCTTCCTGCTATGACTTCTTCTTTTATAACCCAAAATAAGGGGGGACCTGGGCCCCCTGGGCAATAACCAATATAATTACAGTATTTATTTCCCTACAAGATTTCCCTATAAGGTACATGTAAGCTATTTTTTCGGAAATTTGAACTTGATTGGGAAAAAAATTTCAAAGAAACGGGATGGCCTTATGGCCACGAGTTTGATCGATTTTTCTCTGTCTAGGTTGTTCCACTGTCCTAACCTGTCTGTGAGCTGCTGCCCAAGCAAGGGGTGTCAGCCCTGTCTTATCCACAGTATTAACATCTGTTCCTGCAGGAAAAAAAACTCACTTATTTACCAGATATGGCAGATTATTGAAGTTGAAAGTCTATGAACCAGACTCTGGCCTGAGGGCAGGGAGTGGAGGACTGGGTGAGATCCACATCTCATGCCCACTTATTTGGACAGACCAATCTCTCATGCATAGCTAAAAAAAATGTTTTTAAATGACGCATTCCTGCTTAACTTGAACCAATGAAAGATAAATAATTAAAAGTTTATGATGAGTACACTTCCCATATGTGTTGCCACTTTTCAAGAGAAAAGTGCTGACAATGGCATTATTTTGGTGATTGAAGCACTTCTCTAGACTGAGACTAGAAATGTTCAAACCATCTTCGCAAATCTTCACAAATATGCCTCAGAAATCTTAGCCTCTGTACATCTGTCCCCTCCCCTCAAAAAAATCTCTGATTCTTTTGAGGGAGGGGGCAGCTGTACATAGGCTATGGAGATCTTTGGATGTCTTCGGATACATTTTGACCTCTGGTTGTCTTTAAAAGTCCTGGCACTACAAAGAAAAAAATTTGGTGTCTTTGACTCAGAAAAAGATGGCGGTTATATCATCATAGGTAACAACTGTGAAATGCATACCAATTACTTTCATTACTTACCACTTGTAGATACCTGATCGAGATACAACACTTTAACCATTGGCATGTACCAGTCATTCTCAAAAAAATTATATTAAAACACACCTTTGTCAATCTCTTCCTTTATCTTTGCAATTTCACCCTGGGCTGCCAAGAAATGTAGAGAGGGGTCTGAAAACATCAAATGCAGTCCAATTAGACTTCAAAGAACTTAGGTTGCTACAATAGCTCTGACCTTTTTTGTGGTTGACAGGACCAAACACTAAAGCTACCTTATCAGATTGCTGTATTACTCACCTAGATCAGGTAAAGTTTCTACTCAGCTGCCTCTCCCACAGCTTGTGAAAAGTAAAGCCTTGGAGCCTTGGCTCATAGCTGCCGAAGCTGATCCTGGTTTCTGTAGCATGAAGTGGCTAGGAGTATTATTACTCCCCCTGAATGAGATGCTAGTCCATCGCAGGTCACTCCCGCAATTTGTTAGGTTACCCCAACAATTCGCCGGTACCCATTTATACTCCTGGGTGGAGAGAGGCACTGTGAGGGTTGAGTGTCTTGCCCAAGAACACAACACAGTGTCCCTGGCCAGGACTGACAAACCCAAACCACTCAATTCAGGGATGAGCACACTAACCATGAGGCCACTGCACCTCCACAACTTGTGAGAAAAGTGCTAAATATTTGTCCCTCTTACACCCTATGGGTGGATACTGGGTATACTGGCAAATTTTTAAGCTAACCTTACAAAATACTGAGAGAATAACCTGTGCAAGGTTAATAGGGAGCTTTCCAACAGTAAGGGCATTCTAGCAATATTTCTTAATTGCTAAGTTATTCTTCACACAGGTACCAGCACTGAGTAGCTGTCACATTTCTCCAATTTCAAAATCCCCCCTGATTGTGTCTCAAAATCACGTCTGAATGCTTCATTCATAAACTCCTGAATGACAGCAAACAATTTTGAGCAGTAACATTGTGTTGTTCATTATGATCATATAATTTATACAAGAAAATCTTATCAAGCTTACATTGTGCAGCAGTATCACCATTGCTGAGACTCTCCTTTACTTCTTGCTCTAACTACAAATGTACAAGTAAACAAACATGTCAGATGGATGAAGAAAATAATTAAAACAATTATTTTGAAGAACTTTGCAATAGAAAACTTAAAAAGATAAACTGTCTTAAAAAAAGGAAGTTCAAGAAGTGCTCAAGGTATGTAGCTTAAGCATGTTCGTGCAAAAATTTCATGCATTTTGCAAACAATTCAAACTTCTAATCGATAGATTTTCTTCAT